CGAATACTCCACCAAAAAATTTTGAAATTTAGAGTCTCTGAAACGTTTCGTGCGGTCAGAGAACGACGTATAGTTAGATTAGCAAATTTTTTAAATTCCTCAAACTGGATTTCTATAGGTTTTTATGTTCTTATTCCACATGTTTTGAATGTATATTTTGCCCAACAAATTATTGAGTAATTATTCAAACATTAGGGGCTATCATCCCCCTCCCGGATTTACACCCTTGATTACGGCAGTGTACAAGAGATAAGATGAGAAGGCCGAACATTCAATTCACCGTGTAATTGCATGGATAAGATAAGATAAGAAAGATATAACGGGTAGAAAAGTCTCGCACTTGGCTGCTGTTTACTGTTAATTTAAAAATCCGACTTAACTCTCACTTTGCTTCACAACCATAGCAATAGAAGCATGTTCATTTGTTATGTTTTGACGGAATGAAGTCAAATTTCACTCTCTCGCGCTAACATCGGGCTAGTTAAAAAATTGAGTGCATGTGATCGCTGGAAAAACTTGCCGTGCCTCAGATTTATCTCTTCATAATCTTAACTCTCCGATTTACCTCTCGAAATATTCCCCCTTTTCGTCATGCCTATAGTAATTAATATGCTGGTGACTAGTGATATCAATGGGTGGGCAATGCAATAGAGATAGTTATAACGAAGGTCAACAAAGGTTGTCAGCCAATCATTTGAAATTGAGATAAATTTTGGACATGTGATCTGGACGGTGGGCAGATTTTGTTTAAGGTGGGAAACTCGCCTGGCGGCTTGATATGAATATGGAACGACAATTTCAGTCTCTTTTCGACGTTACCAACATCAAAACTGCCTTTATCGAACTTATATCTACATGACGTTTCTCGTTTGAGACGAGCTTCACATCTTCACCGGAAATCCGTCCTACCAATGTGGATTCAGCTATAAAACTGCTACACTTTTCACATAATTTAAAACGTTCATTGCAAAGTTGTTTTGCTTGTCAGTTTTAATTTTTTATTGCTTCTTCACTTATATTGTTGATGAATTATTTGTTCTTGTTTTATACGGGCGTTTGGAAGAATGAAAATACACATCAAAACAGAAACTGGAGCAATCATGTTTTTGTTAAGGCTTAAAGTGCAAAAATATCTTGAGTCAAAATGCACTGTCCACTTCTCAAAAGTACACGCTAAGATAATTAGCATTGAAGTAAAGGACTGTACTATTAAAATTTTGGGCATCGTTTCAGTTTTACAGTCCTTACGTGAAAGATCAAAAATCTTGGATGGGGAGATTGAGCATGCACAACAACTTGTAGAGTGGATGAAAGATAAGAAGTTTGGTTGGCAACTTTGTTATCGAGCTTCATATGATGGTTGGAAAGGAGAAGATTTTCATAGAAAGTGTGATGATGTAGGACCTACAGTGACCTTGATAAAATGTGGAACTAATGTATTTGGTGGCTATACTGACCAAAGCTGGGAAGGTATTTTTTACACTTTCTCTTTCTTGCAATCGAACTATACGATGTGTAAATTTAGAAACAATTTGCTTGGAACACGTTTACTGCCTTAATTTACATAGTTGTATACTCCAACTATTATAAGAAGATTTAAATTCGATGACATTAATATGCTTTTTCTATTCTAAACCTTGTTTTCAACAAAATCACGAAACTTTTAAACATTTAAATTTTAATATTTCGTATTTTGTTTCAGGAAAATATAAGTATAAACGTTCCAATACCTCTTTCTTGTTTTCACTTTGCAATGAAGACAACGTACCGGCGTTCAAGTGTCCGATTTATGACCATTGCAATGACAAAGCAATGTGGTGTTATCTTAACTCTGGGCCAGCCTTTGGTGAAGTTAATAGTGATTTATACATCGCTAGCAATGCCAACACAAATCAATGTTCACGCAGCAACCTTGGTCACACATATCAACCACCACTCGGATATCAATATGGCACTCCACGAATCAGATCACTGCTCGCAGGCACTGAGGCTTTCACACCAACAGAGATTGAAGTGTTTCGCAGTTAATCTATGTAAGGTAAAAATTAAACTGAACACTAATTGTTACTTAAATTCTTGTAACAATAATTTTAAAATGACCCGACCTTTATTTATATACTCAAGATATGAGCGGCCAAATATGGTCACTTTAAAAAGTCCCACCCCCATCTTCTGCGGATTTTTATTAAATCCCATCCGAAAGAGGACGAGAGTTGATGAGAGTTCCCAAGCGAGAGTTTTCACAATGCTAAAGAGTTGCGTGAGCTAAAATCGAGCTCAAAGTGGACGAGAGTTGACAAAAATGCACGAAAGTCGATAATAGATAGATAGATAGATAGATAGATAGATAGATAGATAGATAGATAGATAGATAGATAGATAGATAGATAGTGTATTTAAAATTCACCTTGCAGCTCGACAGCTGAATTGCGTGATTTACAAAAGTATATAAAACATTATTTAAAAGATAGAATATGGGTTAATTAGGCATATTTACAAATTGTCATTAAAACGCTTAGTACTAAAAATTACATTAACTTAAGTTACTATAGACATAGGAATAAAAGTTTTTTTAAATCTTTCTGTATTAGTTTCGAATCGTTCAAACAGTCTATTGTTCCTAAGTTGGTAAACCGACTCATGTTTGGGAGGCATGCAGTAAATTATGCAGTTTGTGTGTCGGATTGTTAGTAATATTTGTAAAAAGTTTGTTACACATTTCTTCGCGTCTTTGGAACAAAGTTTGAAGATTGAAATATTCTAAAGTTTCGCTATATGAGTTCGCGGGTAAAATGATCTTCAGTGCTCGCTTTTGTACCGTCTCAAGATCTTCTGACAGGAAGGATGGAATTGAGTAATGGAAAACCGGGGCACAATATTCCAAAATGGGCCTGATAACTGTACAGTAGAAGTTTACAATGTCTTTCGGACTGACTTTTGCGCGCTTAAGTAAGATAATGGCTGCACCAAAGTGGGGAAGAACTTTTTAGAGTTTATATTTGACAATTAGAAATATTTTATAAGAACATTAGAACTATTATTTTATAAGAACATTAGAAACCAATGGTACTGGTAAAGAATTTGATTGCAGGTTCACAGGCAAAGACTCACAGATGTTCTTGCACAATTTTATGTTTCTTATAGATATTCTTGAGAAAGACTCTGCTGCAGGGCTTTATCCAAGCACCTACTGACCTTCGGTAAACAGAGGTCAAAACTCAATCTTGGATTTTTAAACTGAATCTTACCTCGAAAGAAAAAAAAAACAACGAAAAATCATTTGCACACGCTTTAGTGTTTGGAATTCCGAGAAACAGGGTTATTTTAGCTGTTCCTTTTTCAGAATAAAACGACATGTTATTGTTTATGTTATAAAGCTACCTATATTGTATTTTTTGTCTTTTTATGCCCCATCATGCTTAGATGGCATGCATTTTTGGATTTCTGATGACAATTTCGATCAAATCAGCACAAAATGAAATGGGATGATTGAAGAATAACAAAAATTACATATAGAAAGTAAATTTTTCAAACTAGAATCTAAAATTTATGCAACCTTGATCTGAAAGTGTGAAGAAGCCACAGAAAAAATATGCTCGAATACAAGTACATCGATGCATGGCCTCTTTGGTTTTGCGCAAATCTTTACATAAGATTACATCATTCACAAACCATGCGGTTACATTCAAGCAAAATGATCTAAGATGCTGAAATAGCAAAAGATTTCAGGGACTTTGCCCCTAGATTCATGCGTCACAACAACTGAATCTTCTTTTCTAAAACAGGGGTCAGCAAAAGTGCTTGGATAAAGCCCTGCACTGGTATGCACTCTAAACATCTTCATATTCATGCTTTTCTTTGTCTGGTGTGTTACTCTTACTATGTCAGACAATGTGACAACAATCAGAGCAGATTCGACACAAACTACAGTAACAGAGGTTGACATGGAGAGTAGCAGTTAAAGCACGGTCACATTACACAATGACTTGAATATTCCAATTGAGATGCTGTCCACTTAAGTGACGAAAGCAGCAAAGAGGACATTGATTCAGAAAAGCAGACAATTCTAATACATTGGAAACCTCCGCTGGAGCAGGTGAAATTTATCGTTTTCGAAGAAGCAATTCTGGATATTTTTGGAAAGTGTGTCCAGTGTAGTGCAAAATGTATTGTGACAATGGAGAATCAAATTGGCTCCTCATGCAGAATTTGCAACTTGTGTACAACTGTTGAAAATTGGTTAGTAAATCATTAGTGGAAATACAGTAACTTTAAGAGATCAAAGGATCTTAATTTTAGTTTTCTATATATGGTAATGTTTGAACAATCTGACCTATCAGAAGAAAGCGGAAGTAAATTTGTCATGGAGTTGTTGTTTGAAAGGAAAAAAGTTGGGATAGAATACAGGTAAATAAAGCGTTTTAAAACATAATTTCTTGTATAGAGTTTACTTATTTTTGGTGTTGGATGCGAGGCCTGCATGTCTTCTGCATCTGGGAGACAAAATGATGTAATGAACTCTCTCCGATTCATAGAAGAGGTCTCAAGCACATCTGACCTAGCTAATATAGTTAATGATGCTTTTATTCTTCCGATGAAGATTTTCTCACCTCTTCCACACGATTTTCAACTCAAACAAGATATCCCTTCATCTGCACCATTTGTTTTATCCGTTCACTCTGTTTTTATGAAGTTGTCGTTGCTGAATCCAACAAAAGCTCAAGGTCCAGATGGCCTCCCCGCTTGGCTACTGAAGGGGAATGCAGACCGTCTTGCAGAACCCATAGCAGAAATTATAAACAGCTCCTTTCACGAAAGTAGATTACCACCATCATGGAAAGAAGCGGATATAGTTCCAGTACCGAAACAAAGAAGAGTAAAAGACGTCAGCAAACACTTAAGGCCAATTTCCCTCATGCCAATACTTTCTAAAGTTGCTGAAGAGTTCATCATACAAGAATATGTCAAACCAGCGGTTTTAATAAAGATTAAAAGTAACATAAAAAATTTGGCTCAATTCCAAAATCATCGACAACCCAAGCTTTGATCAGCATGATACACACATGGAGCAAGTATATGGATGAAACTGGCTCTACAGTCAGAGTGGTTGTTTTCGCTTTCAGGAAAGCTTTCGACCTGACAATACATTGGTTTGAAAAATAAAGATCTAAATATACCCCATAATATCGTCAGTTGGATCGTTGATTTCCTGAAATGCCATAAGGATAAATACAAAGGATAAAATTGTCACAGGACTGTAAATCGGAATGGCAAAACGGGCCGGCAGGAGTTCCCTAAGGAACAAAGTTGTTATAATAGTCATT